ACATCAAAGTACTCATGTTTACACATTTCTTGAAGGAGGAATTGATCGAATGGTGGTGGCATTATTTGTTCTTTCTTTTGCAGGTTCATACGCGTTTCAAAGGACGAAACTGGGGCAACTTTTTGAACTGAGGAATGTCGCCCAAGAATTCTTATATGACTGAGGGATTCGGACCAAAGAAGAAATGAATCAAAGTTTGAGCAACCCTGCCATAATGCAAATCAAATGATCGGTTGCACAATAAGTGGTGGAGACTGAGGCAAAAAAAAATTATTTCTTGAAAAGTTTCTCCCGAACGAAAAGGAAAAAATGGGAAACATAAAAAAATTATTTTCAATATCAGATTTTAAATTCTTGTTGGCGAATTTCAACTTCCACTGCGCACCCTTCTATCTCCCCCTCTTGACAATCATGCTTAATTTCTTGACCAATTGAATGGCGAGATTGGATCTTATCCTACTGTTCCCAAACATCACGTTGGGCCTGGATTTCGTGCCGCCAACATCACAAATACCACGTTGGGCCTGGATTTCGTGCCGCCAATATCCAAACATCACGTTGGGCCTGGATTTCGTGCCGCCAACCTCACAAACATCACGTTGGGCCTGGATTTCGTGCCGCCAACATCACAAATACCACGTTGGGCCTGGACTTTGTGCCGCCAACATTCCCTTGGGCTTGAATTTTGTGCAACCAAGGCAGGCTCGGGTTTAATCCCATTGACCAAATCTCACGGCGGGCTCGGGTTTAATCCCACAGACCAATTCATCATACTGGGGCAAATTATCTTTGGAAAGTTTCTCAAAAAAAAAATTCAAAAATCAATCAAAACTTGTCACGGCAGGCTCGGGTTTGATCCCACTGACCGATTGTCAAGGCATTTCACTAGCACTGTCAATAGCCGTGGGTTAGTCCCACTAGTGTGCTTCCCGTTTTAAATTTCTGTTCGGATCAGTCCCGTTTTAAATTTCTGTTTGGGTCAGTCCCGTTTTAAATTTCTTGTTCGGGTCAGTCCGTTTTATTTTCTTGTTCGGGTCAGTCCCGTTTTAAATTCTTGTTCGGGTCAGTCCTGTTTTAAATTCCTGTTCGGGTCAGTCTCGTTTTAAATTTCTGTTCGGGTCAGCCCCGTTTTAAATTTTGTTCGGGTCAGTCCCGTTTTATTTTCTTGTTCGGGTCAGTCAGGTTTAAAATTCCTGTTCGGGTCAGTCCCGTTTTAAATTTCTTGTTTGGGTTAGTCCCGTTTTAAATTCCCGTTCGGGTCAGTCCCGTTTTTTAAAATTCCTGTTCGTTAGAATCATTTTGCGATCAAACAACACAGGTAAGTATTTGGTGTCTACTTCTTTGTCTCAAGTTTTTCCAAAACTCAGACAAAGAGGGGCAAACTGTAGACACCAAAATTTTTAAATATTCTTTATTTTATTTTATTTATTTTATTTTAGTTATTTTTATCCTAATTTTATTTCTTTGTTATTTTAGTAATAATTCTTATCCAATTTCAAGATTTTAGTTCTAGACTTTTGGTATTTTTTAGGTTATTATGGTCTATTATTTTTATTTTTCTTTTAGTTTATTTTGTATTTGTTTTCGTCCTTTTGAACTATCTATTTTATTGCAAGATTGCTTTTAGCATAAATTTGTCAAAAAGAGAAAATATGGCTTATTTCCTTTTTACTATTTATTAATCGGAAAAAGAAAAAAAAAAGAAAATCATTAATCCAACATAGGAAAAATCTTAGCTTTTGTTTTATTTTTGTTTTTTATTACTAGCTTTGTACATTTTATTTAAGTATTATTATTAAAAAAAAAGGACAGAAACGTAAGAAGAAAATTGCAGCCGGCAAGAAAGGGATCCAAGGGCTCAAGTTCTGATAAAAATCCTACCCTTGATCCTCACCTTTGAGGTGAGGGTTTTAGGGACCTAGGGTTCTCATATATAAGGGGGGGTAAGCCGCAGATGAGAAAAAAAAAATGACGGTTGAGGTTTGGAAATAGAGGTGAGGGAGGAAAGGTGAGGTTTTTAGGCAAGGAAACTAAACAGGAGAGATCGGGAGAAGGTATTAGGAGAGAGCTACAGGAGAGTTTGGGGGACGGACGGCTGGAAAATCTGAAGGGAAGGAATCTGGGGGGTGACAACTAGGTTTTAGAAAAGCAACAAAAAGAGGGGGGCAAAGTGAAAAGGCGACGGCTGAGAAAAGAAAAAGACAGAAGAGGAACAACAGAGAGGTTTGGATGTGAGCCGAGAGTAGGAAGGGGAGACGGAGAGAACCAGGAAATCTGGGGAGGTGAAGCTACGAGGAAAAGAACCAAAGCAAGGAGAAAGGGAGGAAGCAGAGAGAGATAGAGTTTCTGGGTAAAGAGAGAGGAAAAAACCGGAGGAAGAGAGAACTTTTGGCAGCAACAAGAGAGGATTACAGTGGCAGCGGAGGAACGACGCAACACCAGAGAGGGAGGAAAGCAAGAAACAGAGGGAGGTCTTGTCAACGGGAAGCTAAGGAGAAAGTCGGCGAGGGAAGCTACCGGAGCAGGGGTAGAGACCGAAGCTTTCACTTTCTCTCCATCGCTCACCTGCATCCAAATTCAAAAACTTCAGGTATCTTCCTAAAACTAGTTTCTTAGCCTCTCCGATTTTAGCCTCTCCAATTTCCTTCGTGACTGAGCTGAATTCTTGCATTTTGTTTTCTGTTTTTGTTATTTGTGTCGCTGTTGATGCTTCAATCGCTGTTGAGTTAGGGGTTGCTGTTGTTTCTACTTGCTTTAATCTTGCCTGTGGAATGTGTATCTCCAGATTTTGTTAGGCAGTGAGTTTGAACTCTGGGTTTTATGGGTTTTGCTGATCTACTGGGTTTGTTATATCGGATAAAAGTTGCAGAAAATAGCCAAAATTTGTGTCTTTTGTTTTTTCGGATTTTCTGGGAGGAGGAAGGCAGTGACTAAAATTATGATTTCGCTCTTTGACTCAAAGTCGGTTGGGTTGAAGATTTGGGTCATTTGGGTAAGATATCTACAAGTTTCAATGGGGCGTGTAAAGGTTTTATAAACATGCTGAAATTGTAGAAGGCAAGCTGAGCAAGCCTTGTTGCGTTTTTCCTATGTTTCTTTCCTAATGCATCTTTGCTGCATTTTGTGCACTTTCAAATCTGTTGGGATGTATGCTAAGGTAATGGCATCATTGGTTGGGGAATACTTACACTTGGTAGGTTGGATTTAAGATGGTCGTATGAACATGTTTCATGAGTAAGTTGCAGCAGGTTTGAAGTGAATGGTCTGCATGTTGCTGAATTATTGTTTATTCCTTCATGATTTTTTTGTCTCTCCTTGTTCCAGAAGTGCATGCTCACCAAAATAGGTAGTTGGGTTGATGCCTTGGTATGATATTGTTCTCTTACCTCACTCACGAACCATGAGCAGCTTTCGGTTGCTGAAATTGAATAGCATAGGGAAATAAATTGCAGAGACTTGTTGCCTTCATAGTTTGCACCGAATCTGCATGATATCTCCCTAAGTTGTAGTTTGTTTGTATGTGGAAGTCATGTGTTTAGTTGTTTGGCTTGAAGTTATGATTTTGGTTGGAAAAGCTTTGAATCAAAGTTTGTCTGGAATCCTCATTTTGGAATAAAAATGACGGCAGGTTTGAGTTGTTACAGAAGCATAAGCTTCGTAGTGTGCATGGCAGTTTGCATGAAAATGTTTTCAAAGTTTGCATTCCAACCCCTCATGTTCCTCCTCATGTCACAAAGGCCCAATTATATTCTAGTCTTTTGCAGTTAGATCCTAGAGTAATTGCAATTTTAACCATTACTTGACTTCTTTTTTACTCTTGGACCCTTGAAGTTCCCAAAATGTTTCGTTTAGACTTGAATGATTGATTAAGGGTTGCTTTTGAGTTCCTAGTAGTTGCTATATTTGGGAATTTGATGGGTTATTCCACCTTTCTTGGTAATTATGCATTATGTGGTTTCATTCGAGTTGCAATTGGGGGATTTTGGTGATTTTGTTTATATTTATTAGTTAATTGGTACCTTGACCCTTTTATTGTTTTGAAGCTAATATCTCATTTACTCGATTTCCATTGCAAGGGAGGTAACCTCTATTTCCTTAATTTTATTTCTCCTACGTGCTCCTACGTGTTATGTGTGAATATGCATGCTTTAATTCATTTTTCATTTTATATCTAATTGCTTGTTTCGCTTGCTTTTATATCGCTTTCTTTAATTGAGCAAGTTATTCGTGGGCATTTGAACCCCGATCTGTAATAGTTTAGTATTTCTTTTAATCATTTATTTATTTATTCCCCCTTTTAGTTTGTAGTAGGTTTCCCCCAAATGTAATAGTTAGGGTTTTATTTGCTTTATTTGCCTTGTGTGTTTTTGCATGCCTATGTGCTATGTGTTACTCGCTTTCCTAGGGTCTTGCATCTAGATATCATGCTTACGTGTTATTTGTTTATGTGGATTATGTGTTTATTTGCTTTATTATACTTTACATGATTTATTTGATTGTAATGAATGTGTGACGTCACCACACTAGTCCAATGCTAGTTGTGGTCTTTTTCCCGTCACCACACTAGTCCAATGCTAGATGTGGCCCTTTTGTTCCGATTTTCCACTAGCCCAATGCTAGTAGGAATTCATAGACATGGCTAGTCCAATGCTAGACCCTTAGGGACCTCCGACGCTAGATCATGTTTGCATGACTACATTTCATCTCATGCATATCTTTCCTTTTTAGGGCCTCTTTCACCATATTGCATGGCATTTTCCTTATATATGTACACCCATTTTCCCATATTTTCCCTTATATGTATATTACTTCTTCCTTTTGTATGAAACATGACATTAGTCTTGCATTTCATATAGGCATTAGAACTTTTTTTTTTATTTATTAAAATATGCTCTTTATTAATAAAAACGAAATTACAACCACAGCGGGCAGTACCCAAAATGGGCCATCCTATACTTTTCTCAGCCTAACACGTCTAATTGATGGCAATCCCAATCTGTTTAACCTAACCTCCCCCGAGCCAACACGGGAAGACCCAGCTCACTATCATAAACTCTAACCAACTGTTGCGAATGAGAGATACCCACGTTGGACAAAATATCAGCAACCTTATTCGCCTCTCTGTAGCAGTGCACGAACCTAGCCTCCCCCACCAAGTGCCAAATTTGCTCCACCTCTCTCCTAATGTACCAGGGGCAGTGATAGCGTCGTTGGAGGATTTCCGTTAGCAACAACGAATCAGACTGAATCACCCTGGGGGCAACTCCCTTTCCAAGACACAGCTGAATCCCCAATAAGGCGGCCAGCGTTTCAGCGCGAAGACTAGAACCCTCACCCAGGTAAGCCGAAAAAGCCACTAATACATGGCCACTGGAATCCCTAAGCACTCCACCTCCACCGCTCACTCCAGGGTTACCCTTAGCACAATCATCCGTATTAAGCGTCGTGCATCCATATCCTCCTGCCTCCCAGCGGACTATCCTGCACTCATACAATTACGGCGCTTGAGACACTCCCGTATAGAATACCTGGAAATTACTCCCTTGAACGGCCACCTTGAAGTGGATCTCAAATGCCGCCTTCACATCCTGGAATACTGCACCACATATCTCCTTCGCCCGAACCCTTGCACCATCGAACACCACTCGACACCTAGCCTTCCAAATGTTCCAACAAATAAATATCGGGTAACAGAACAGACGACCCTCTGCTCGCCCGACGGTGCCAATGGCATCCACCAGGCAAACAAATGTGACCTAATGCTAGAGCTATCACTAGCTATACCACATATACTCTGAAAGTAACTCCAGACCTCCAGTGCCAGTTGTCCCGTGGAGAATACATGCTCCAGCGTCTCACCCGTTGCATCCACACAACAAAAACATTTCGACGCCAACTTGAAACCTATCTCACCTAGGACATCATCTAATGGTAAGCGCCGCATAAGCAAGCGTAGCATGAAAAAAGATACCTTCAATAGTATCCTAGCCTGCCATATACGGGACGGCACCAGCGAGCTAGTGCGTCCCTGCCTTACCTCCTGATACGCAGATGCCAAAGTGAATGCCCCGACTTCGTAGGCATCCATACCACTTGGTCTGTCCCCCTCCCACTTGGAACCGGAGTTTTCATCACCAAATCCACACTGCCTGATGGGAGAATCTGTAACAAACGGCCCCTGTCCCAGGCACCATTAGTCATAACATCTGCAAATGAAATGGCTGACACCACTGGGGCTCTAAGGAAAAGACCTCCGCTCCCCACCCAGTTGTCATACCAAAAGCCACAGCCCCCACCAGTTAACAACCATAGCATTGATAGTTCCATCTGGCGGCTCACATCAAGCATGCGCCTCCATGTTGCTGAAGCAGATTGAGCCCAGCCCACCTGACATGGGTGAACCCCTTTGCAATACTTTGCCCTCATGAAGGATACCCACAAAGACGATCCTGTGCGCAAGATCCACCATAACTTACATGAGAAAGCCTTATATACGTCTCGGACCCGCCGAAATCCGCGCCTCCCTCCTCCTCCAGATAACACAGCTGGGACCACTTTATCCAATGATGCCTATTCAGCTAGCCAGACGATCCCCACAGGAAATTAGTGCATAACCGCTCAATATCCTTAAAAGTAGCCATCGGAATGACCGCAGCGGATAGAAGATGCGTCGGAATTGCCAGAGCACATGCTTTATTAGCACTAACCTCCCCCCAGGTGACAAAAGCTTTGAACGCCAAGAAAGGATTCTTGCTGAGATGGAATGACACACCTCCCCAAAATATGCGGATTTACATCTGCCAACATAAAGCGGAAATCCCAGATACCGAACCGGGAACCGTTGCCTTGGAAAACCTGTAATACGCTCTATTACCCTTCGGCGAGAGAGACACACTGATGGGTGCACTAAATATCCACTTTTCTGGGCATTTACCAATTGACCAGATGCCCTTTGATACATCTCCAACACCTGTACAATGTCTTTTAAAGATTGGCAGAGCCATTCGCAAATATAAGTACATCATCCGCAAAGGCTAGATGAGTAACCGTAGGGCATCCCCTGGGAACAGTGAACCCCAAGAATCCCGACTGCAAAGCTAGGCTATTAAGCCCTCGGGATAAGACCTCAGCTCCAATGACAAATAACGCTGGCGATAGCGGATCGCCCTGGCGGACGCCCCGACTCGATTTGAAAAATCCATACGATGCCCCATTGATAATGACTGAAAACCAAACGTTAGACAACAATCTCCACACCATGTCAATAAACCTTTCACCAAATCCAAACTTACGCAAAACGCTTACAGTGAAAGTCCAAGACACACGATCATACGCTTTTGCCATGTCAAGTTTTACCGCTACATTACCCCCCCTAGACTTGTGTCTGATCCCCGACAGAAGCTCCTGGGCTAGGAGATAATTCTCTGTGATGTTTCTGCCCTTGACGAACCCTGTCTGCTGAGGAGATATAACCTTGGGCAGTATGGCTGCCAACCTATCAGCCAAAATCCTAGACAACACCTTATTGAAAAATTGCACAAAACTAATCGGACGAAATTTAGAAAAATCCTGAGGGTTAGGCACTTTGGGAATTAGGACAATGGATGTAGAGGTCACAAAGCGAGGCAACTCTGCCCCACAAAAGAAGCTTAAAACAGCAGTATAAACATCTTGCGCAATAATGTCCCATGCAAATGTAAAAAACTGACCGGTGAAGCCATCTGGGCCTGTGCACTATCCCCATCCATCTCAAACACCACCCATTTCACCTCTTCAATCGTTGGACAAGCTTCAAGAGCCATCCTATCTGCCTGGGTAACAACATTTGGAATTAGATGGGCCCACTCTCTCGATGTCCCTCAGCAGCAACCGAGAAACATCCGTAAAGTATCTTAAGCCACATCAGCTATCCCCTCATCATCCTCTACCTATGCACCATTCTCATTCTTCACTCTGTGGATCGCCCCCTGAGCTCTACGTTGCTGAACAGTTGCATGGAAAAATCTAGAGTTCCTATCTCCGTAACGAAGCCACTTGACTCTAGCCTTCTGTCCCCAAAACTTCTCCTCATTCAAAAGTGCATTCCGTAACTCAGCCTGGGCTTGATTCAGCTCGACCTGAGCCTCCGTAGAGGCATCCCCCTCCGTGCGGTTCTCCGCAGCTAAAACCTTCTCCTCTGCCCTCCGAACATTCTCAAATACATTCCCGAAGACCCCCTTATTCCAATCTTGAATGGCCCTCCTAGTGCGCAGGAGCTTGGAGCAAAGAGCCCGCAAAGGTGCTCCAGGAGTCTCCTCCTGCCAGGCTTGACGAATTACATTCAGTAACCCAGGATTCGTCGTCCAAATGTTTAGGAATCGGAAGGCCCTGGGTTTATTACCCATGCGCGAAGAGAGTGAAATCTTGAGCGGCGCATGATCCGATGGGTGACGTGCCAGGTGGACCACCGCTAATGTTGGTGCCCCCTCAGCAAACCCACCATTGATGAGTACCCTGTCCAATCGCTTCCAGATTCTAGCCCGCCCTTGCCGATTATTGCACCAAGTGAAACTAGCCCCAGAGAAACCTGCATCAAAGACTTCGGCCTCCTTCATAAAGGATAGTAATTCCAATCCTTCAGAACTAGTGAAAGGCCGACCTCCACGCTTCTCAATAGGATTCCCAATGACGTTAAAATCCCCACACACACCATGCCATTATTGAATCAGGTTTATCCACCAATAAGTCCTGCCACATAGTCCTCCGCTCCTCCAAGGTGCATTTAGCGTGCACAAAGGAAAAACACAAGGGCCGGGCCAGCCAAGGATGCTGGACAGATATCGTTATGTGTTGTGAAGAGTTACCAAGTACAGCACACACTAGGGGGTATTATAAAATACCCATATATCAGTCGATGAATTCACTACGACCGAATCAAAGAGTAACCTTATCTTAATCGAGTCAATTTGAGAAACATCCATTTTTGGCTCACATATAGCAACAAACTTAAAATCATGCAACGAATCAATCTTATCAATCGGCGTAAGTTAGGGGTTTGGCAACCCCTCGTATGTTCCAAAACAGACCATTAATCATGCGATAATCTTTGGAGAGCATTGTGAGAGTGTGTTACCGTCGATCGAAGTTGTCTATCTGATGGGGCCAGACCCTTCTTTCTCGCACGCTTGCCACCGTTGTCCATCACCCTGGATTGATCAATATGTAACCGGAGTAAAGTGTCCTCCCTACTAGAGCCATCACCGACACCTCTCGCATCCTCTTGCTCCGTTGCCTCCTCATCCTCCCCCTCACTCACTGAGCCTCCACTCCCACACAAGGCAACAGAGGGCTGTTTCAACTTGCCATACGTCCCTTCAGCCACCGCTATGAGGGCACCAGAATCCCTCTGCTCAACTACTGACAAAGGCAGATGCACCGTAATCTCCCCCACTGCTTGCATTGCCTCTGCCATCGCATCATCCTTGCTAGATAAAATCTGTCCATCATCCACAGCCAGCAGAGCGCGCGTCTGCACATGCTGGCCACTCCGCTTGGCCTTGCTACTTCCGCCATCTGCTCCCTCCTCCTGGGCAGTTAGTTGCCCATCAGCAGACCTGCCACCCGGAAGGCAGAGTAACTCCGGCCTTCCTTCTGCAACCAGCCCCTGTTCAGCCGCGAACTGCACAAGTGCGTCCACCATTTGCACTCCACTACGCTCGTTGGATCCTCTGTCGTATCCTTGATCTCTATCAACTTATTTCCACTTGGTGGCTCCGACCTTCCTGCTGTGACCAACCCATGCTCATCCGTGCGCTACACAAGTGCGGCCGAACCCACCACCTGCACATCACTGCTGCTAGTTAAGGCCTCCGCCGTATCCTTGGTCTCTGTCAAGTTATTTCCATTTGGTGGTTCCACTACATTAATCGTGCTGGTATTGCCTGGTAACTCCGCTGTATGCTCCTTGGTGAAATCTCGCTCCTTCACCCGGTAAGCCTGTCGTGAATCACTCATCCCATGCTGTTGCAGATTGGTCCTCTTCTTACCAGCAGGTTTCAGAGCTGGGTTTTTCTTAAAGCACTCCTCCTCCTTATGGCCAACCCGGTCACAGTAGTGACAGAACAAAGGCCAGTTTTCCACTTCCACCGGCTGCCAAAAGCCATAGTCATCATCACCTATCCAGACTCTTTTCGCCGGCTCCTTAGAAACATCCATCTCCACCAACACCCTGGCTACAGATGGTCTGCGCAGCGTGGATGTTGCAGAATCGATTTTGAGAACTCTTCCCAGCGTGGCCGCAAGTTTGGTAACCAGATTCTTTGCAAAAAAAAAGGATCGGCAAGCCCGGAAAAGCTACCCATATCAGAACTATGGAAGGCTCCTGATTGGTCTTGAAATCCATGGTCCACTTCGAGACCACCATTGGAGCGTTATTGACGAACCAGACCCTACGCAAGAAGAGCCTGGTGTAGTCCTCCTCAAGAGCAAGCCGAATCAGAATGTGCCGCTGATCCAGCAGCCCCACATCGCATTCTCCCTTGAGTCCCAGTGACACAAAAAATTTCCGCACAACCTCCATTGAAGGTCTGGCTGCAGCAAATCTCCCTACCAATGCGTTCCGGTATGGTGCCGCCAGAGCACGCATATCTTGCCTGGAGAGACGCAGCGAAGGCTCTCCCCGATAGAGCGAAACCTCACCGATCCCTTCATCACCCACTGCAGCTGGCGACCCATTGGCAACAACTGCAGCAAAGCTTCTTCCAGCACCGCTGCCATGGATATCCGGCGGCTTGGCGGCCGCCATGCAAAGTCCGTAGGGTTTTGAAGTCCGTAGGGTTTTTTCGCTAATACTAATTCAAACATTAGTCCCCCGTACCCGACATGATGCATTCCTTTAAGACATATATATTTGTATAATTATTTTATCCCTTTTCTCTTCTTAGAGTCTCATATTTTTGCATTATTCGTGATCTCTCCAAAGAGTCATTATTGGGCATCACAATTAATGTGATTGGCACCACTCAAGTTTTGAAGAGAAATTTTGCCCTCGATACCCTCCAAGGTGTGACGCCCCAAAAAAAATGAGTTTGAGAACCCGGAAATTTTCTAATTTTCTAGGGTTTATTTTATTTAATCGCCCACCTTTTCTACATTTTTTTTATTAGAAAAATTCCCCAGATAAAGTTTATGAGTAAATATAGTTTTAAGATGATTTTTCTAGTATTGGGTAGTTTTTGAGAAATAAAGAGCGTATATCGGACGTGGGACCCGCTAGTGCGAAAAGTTCGAAAAAATTCGGCCAGTTAGGTTAAGTTTTGGATACTGGGTTTAATTTACCGGATGTTAAGAGATAATTAGAGGTTGCTTAGATGGTTAATGATGGAGAGACAAAAGGATAAGTGTTACAATTAAAAGGTGCTAGGTGTCGCGACCCGATTGGAGTTGGACTTTGACTTAACTTTCTTACCTTTACTAAATACCAAAATTTGACCAAAAATATCCCATTTCTTCTTCCTTCTTGGCTGAACACTTGAGAGAAAGAAAGAGAGGAAAAGTTTCATCTTCAACTTCAAATCCAAGCCAAATCTTAAGTTCCAACCATTGGAAACTCAAATTACTCCATACAAAGTGCTAGTTAAGGAAGATTAGGAACTTGAATGGAAGGATTTTTGGAGCACAAAGCCTAAGCTCCTACCTTTCTTGTGGTTTTAAGGTATTTTGCCAAGAACATCCTCTTTACTTCAATTAATTGCTTATTAGAGGTTTTAGTTGTTTTAGATGTTGTTTTGTGGAAGATTAGCACTTGAATGCATGAATTCCAGATTAGGGTTTCACTAACCCCTATTCTACCCGTTTCTTTTTGACGAGGTTAGAGGCCGAATTGGCCTTAGTACAAATCATTAAAGTTGTAGAGAATGATGTTTTGTAGTTACCTGTAAATTTTCAGCTCAATCTGAGCTCGGTAGCCTGTGAAAAGACCGAAATACCCCTGCTATCCTGTTTCTATCCGAGAATAGTAATCAGCTTTGGTAATTGGGTAGTTTGACTGGGAATACTACCGATTTGGTTGTTGATGTCTTCTTAGGAATTATATCCTTGTATCGTAGCTTTCAAATGGTTTTGGAATCACTTGAATTGGAGTTGTATATGCTGAGATAATTCGGAAATACCCAGACTGGTCTAGATAGGAGTTCAGCGAACAGGGTTGTCTTTTCACCCAATCGGACGGTGACTTTTCACCATGATCCTTACCGAATTAGATTTTGACCAAAACATGAAAGTTGTAGCCAATAGTATAAACAAGTAGTCTGCAAAATTTCAGCTTGATGCGACCTCTGTATCATGTGAAATGACCGAAATACCCTTAACTGTCCATGAAACCTGTTTCGCGCCCAGAATTCTGTTTTTGTGTAGTTTTCCATTTTTGATCATGAAAATGCATGATTTGGCCATGGAGGTCTTCATAAGAAATGTAGGGTTGTGTTTTAGCTTCGAAACACCATAAAATAAACTTCAATCGGACTTCAGTAGCCTGAATTATTGCTGTTTAACAATTGTGCGGTTAGCCAACCTGTTTGTGAGATTCTGGTTTCATATATGTCAATTTTGACCTAGTTGTACTATGAACTGGACTGAGCGACCTTCTGTAACATTGTAGCCCTATCTCTTAGCTTCGAAACGGTGGGTCTTACAACTCCATCCGATAATCGTAGTGCCAATGGTGCCAAAACCGCTAATGACATCAAATCTGTTTTGGGTTTTAGGGTTTGGATTCGGACAAGATAATGGTATATGACGGATGGGTTCTGAGCCGTGGAGGTGA